ATAAGGGGGGTGGGTGGGTTAAGATTTAATATTGATGTAACATAGAATGAGAGAGTGGGAGGGAGGGAGAGAGTTAGATACATGACTTGGAGATGAGTTAATCCAGTCGAACTCAATGTTGAGTAATTAAAGCTTAGAATGAGAAGGGCTTAAGCAACAAAAAAACTGTCCTCAATGAAATATTACGTTACATAATAATATAAAATCTTTATTATTACGAAAACCTATCGAAAGTAAACATAATTCATCCATCAATCAATTGAATATTGAGTACACTACCTACATCTTAGATATTGGACTTTGAGTGTTTTCCAATCAGTAGAATAACAGTTTAGTGTGCTTGGTACAATTGAAACTAAGGTGGAGTAATTGTTAGGCATGTTAGATCCCAAGAACTCACTTGGAAAACGACCTACTTATGAGAATCTTAAATGTTATTGATCTGTTATGCCTTTTAGTATGCTACATTGTAATGCTTCCCAAGGACGGTTTTGTGCTGTATACATATATATATACGTTTTGATTTGTGTCTGTTGTGATTGCTCGTGCTTCTGGCTTTTTGCAGAATATACTTCCTCGTTCGAACTTCGACTTCTCTTTCTCTCTCTTTCTAGTTAGCGGAGCTGGGACGTATCAGAATAGCTAGTTTATTGGTCTTTGGTCAAAAGTCTTTATTCCATTCGCAGACTAAGTGAACTCGTAATCGCTTTAAACATAGCACTAATAAACATGACTTTCACTGGTACATTGTGGAAAAAGTAATCAGTATTCATTGAGTATGATTTACAGATGATCAATTATTGATAAGTCAAGTATTTCTCAGAGCTGAACAGATTCTGTTTGTCTAAATAACTTAGCATAACAACTAGGTCTAAAGTTTCATGTTGGTTATCTCCAATACCGATCTAACATCAGTGATGTATGAATTCGGTGCTATCTGAGAAGAATTATAGTTTATTTAAAAGGTATATATATTCTCGTTATGGTTTATGATTTGATGTGATTACTTTATACACTAGAAACTCTAGGCTAACTTAGTTATACTTAGAGTCACCTCCTCAAACCTCTAAGTAACCATATTTCCGAAAATGTATTTATTGTCAGAAATTTTCCAGTTCTGAATTTCTTTTAACTACTTAATTACGCTCCGTAGTAACACATACTTACGTACTTTCAGAGAATGTTTAAAAACTAATGCAAAGTGTAATTCCTGAAAATACAGCGGTTCATTTATTTACCTCCACATTTATCCTTTGAAGAAGTGAGAGGTAATTTCTATACAATTCATATATTGAATCATGTAGCAAACCTAAACTGACTTGTTGTTAAAAGATCAGATTATCTAATACTCAAGTTCAATTATAGATCATGGTGTTTCATACGGTATATCATTATTTGAATCATTCTAAAACATTACAGTAAATACTTCATTTGCAAAATATCTACCAATTGTCTCAGATTTTGTTGTATCTTCATTTCCATATCCATCGTTCTCTGCGTTCTGATTCTCTTCTCTTCGATTTCCTCAACCTTCTGTCTTCAGGCATTCCACTTCCAAGTTGTGATATACATACTACTTATACATATCGACATCAGTAGCATACACCACAATACCATGTATATGTATATCACCAACATAGATGATCTGTATCGAATGATTGAAGGCCTACTCTAGCTAGACGGCAATGATGTGACCAAAAGTCATACCTCGCGGTCAGCACCTAATATTGTATCAAGGTACCATTGCTGCTTTGAAAACCGTATAACGCAAGAGGAGTTATCATGAAAATATATTAATAAGAATGAGTACAGAATAGATAACTAAACCACTATCACATTAGCCAGTCTATAGCATACAATTATTTGATGAACGCTCGGTTACCCTTGACTTGGACAGGAACCGATGATCTGTTCAATATTCAATAATCAAACTACTAAATGATTTGACTAAAGCTCATTGACAATTTCATTAATTCAATAAAGTTATCTATTCACTCCATTTCTAATATCACCTGAACATCATTTTTATTTTTGTTTTTTTCATGTTAAACCTTAAAAATTACTTATTGTTTTTAGAACTTATCATTTCCTGATTCTTCGGTTCATCAATCCATTGACCTTGTTTCATGAAATTTTACTCGGATTCATTCTAAAGCTCTCCCTCTCTCTCTCTCTCTCTCTGTCTCTGTCTCTCTGTCTCTGTGTGTGTGTAACCATGAGTAATTCATATTAAACAAACAAACAAACAAACATTTACTTAACTGTATAATAATAAACATGGAATGATGAAAATAGGCTAAATATTAAATTGAATGATTATACCGACATTTGGAAAAGTTCAAAAGATAGAAAGAAGAAGAAGAAGAAGAAGAAGTGGAAACAATATCAAAGTAATGAATGTATCATCATCTAGTTTCTGGAAACAAAACTCATAAAAATTTTATCGATGATGAATAACTGGGTTCTAATAATAACAATAATAATAGTGATCAATGAATATATATACCTCTATGTTCTTTAGTTTTAAATATGATATATCTATCAATTGAATTCATTTCTCCAGTTAGCGTTTCTTTTTTAGCGAGTTAGTTTTCTACGGAATGAGGTCGCTAACCCCATACTCAACCCTCCTTCTTTATGTGGGTTTGTGACCGGCAGTAGCTCAAGGAGGGCTCCAGGAGGACTTTCGGATCTGTTGGTCAGACACTATCAGTAAAACCTACTATGAGGGAGAACAAACCAGATTCCAGAGGAGGAAGAAGCCCTGGAAATGGATAAGACGCATATTGAAGGAAGCACCCCACTGTGACACAAGGCAAGCCCACATCACTTGGAATCCTCAAGGCGAAAGGAGAAGATGAAGACTAAAGAACACATTACACCGAGAAATGGATAATGATATGGGAAGAATGAACAAGAATTGTATAGAACTAGAAAGGAAGATCCAGGACAGAGTGGTATGAAGAATGCTAGTCGGCAGACTATGCTCCATTATGGGTAACAGGTGCAAGTAAGTAAATAAGTAACATTTATCGATTGAATAGGTGGCAATGACTTTCCTATCATTCTTTAATTCGCTTACATTTGATCCTTCTTGAAAGGCGTATATGAACAACATTCAAATCCAGGTATATTCAGCTGATGAGTCTCAAATGGGGAAAAATGCATGTCATGGATTTCACTGTTCTTTATTATTCATTCTTAATAATAAATTGTGACTAAGTAGTGAAATCGAAACAATTTTCTCAGGAAATCGATCGAAAACTTTATTTCTATGATTATTATGTGTAAAAAGACAAGGCTAATGCATCATATTGATGTTTAGAAAGTTTATGGAATCATTCCATACTAAAATAGATAATTATCTAGTCAGAGTGTAACACGTAATCCATCATTCTTTAGAAGTTCCTATTAAACTCTGTTTAAACAAAGTGTTTTCAACCTAGGGGAGTTGGAAAATCCTGATTTAAAACCTATGGTGCACATGGGCCACTGTATCCTGAGGGAACAAATGGCGTATGAACTAATCGTTTGTCATTGGCTACTACCTTGTGAATCAGACCTTCTGGTCGAAGGCTCCGGGTGTGGCCCATATGTACTTGGTGCATTTTGTACTAATATTTATGTGTTCAAATAAATAAATGTGGGAATTAGGAATCTATATTGTGCTTATTTATGTGATCACTCTATATTGGCAGTAAGTTATTAACTGGACACTTTAGAAAAAAATTATGTTGCTCTAAAAACTAAGGCTAACTGGTGTGTGTTGAATTAACTCTGCCAACACTGAGGAGAATTGAACCAAGGATCACACAGCGAATGCTCGTGAATACTCATAACTGATCAGTCACTAACCAGGAGGAAACAGCTATCCAAAGCTTCTTGGTTTTCAATGGTTGTTTAACTAAAATCAGTTCAAAATATTAGTTACAAATTCCGACAAATTTACAAACCTACTATCGTAAGAAATTATAATTCGGTTGAAAGGTTTACTTTTTAAGTTATATCTGTTCTAGATTGATCTCAGGTAGGGTCATACATGTACGTTACTGATGAATATCACAGGCAGACAAAAACGATTATGTTATTGATTTTTCTTGCTTTTTTGTGGTACATTGATTAAGTTCAATCTATGAATTCGTAAGTCAATTGAAGTTAGACCATCATGGAAAACCTCAAAGCACTGAACAGCCGTTTCATCTTGTTGTTGGATTCCTCAGCAGTGTTCATTCACGATCGCGCCTCAAGAAATTCGGAACCAGGTCCTAACGGTCTCGCACGCGAGCGATTAACCTCTAAACCACTGAGCTGGCCGGCATCCAACAGTATTAATGTCTAACTTCAACTAATCCACGAGGTTGCGCCACCGTCTACCATTCTCGTCACTGAGTTAATATCTTACAATTGATCCGGTTGAACTCCACTGGTCACTGTTTCTCACTAGAACTTCACGAAATGCTTCTTGAAACCAGTCACTACTGATCATATGATGACTAAAATCAGAGAGGGATTTATTAGATATTATATTAATTTATTAGTTGAGTTCATGAGTCAATTGAAGATAGACTAATAGAATCGAGACTGATAGATCCTTGGTTCGAACCACGCGAAGCGAGATCCTGGATGCCCACTGCTACTGAGAAGTCCTATACTAAGACGAAACAGCCATCTATTGTTTCCAGTTTTACCATAATAGTCTATCTTTCAATCAACTCATGAATTCAACTATTAAATTATTATAATCTCTATATAAACCTTTGTCTGATTTCAATCTATGAATAACAGTTTATAAATTAGACTCAGTTGCCCAAAATATATAAAAGTAAAATTCAATAATGTTTCATCACATTTTAACATCTATGAATGTATCATTAAAATGAAATGTAATGAACAGATGAATTCATCTAGACAATTCATGTTTACAAATACTTAAGTCTCATTGAAATAGTAAATGGGAAGAAAAAGAGAAAAAAAAGAAGAAAAAAAACACGACAACATGTATGCCAATCACTTTTTTTATTTGTGTATGTTTGAGTTTGCGAGAGTTGATTATTATTATTATTATTATTATTATTATTATTATTATTATTATTATTATTATTATTGATAGTAGTAGTATTAGTATTAGTGGTAGTAGTAGTAGTAGTGGTGGTGGTGGTGGTAGTAGTAGTAGTAGTAGTAGTAGTAGTAGTAGTAGTAGTAGTAGTAGTAGTAGTAGTAGTAGTAGTAGTAGTAGTAGTAGTAGTAGTAGTAGTAGTAGTAGTAGTAGTAGTAGTAGTAGTAGTAGTAGTAGTAGTAGTAGTAGTAGTAGTAGTAGTAGTAGTAGTAGTAGTAGTTTTAGTAGTAGTAGTAGTAGTAGTAGTAGTAGTAGTAGTAGTAGTAGTAGTAGTAGTAGTAGTAGTAGTAGTAGTAGTAGTAGTAGTAGTAGTAGTAGTAGTAGTAGTAGTAGTAGTAGTAGTAGTAGTAGTAGTAGTAGTAGTAGTAGTAGTAGTAGTAGTAGTAGTAGTAGTAGTAGTAGTAGTAGTAGTAGTAGTAGTAGTAGTAGTAGTAGTAGTAGTAGTAGTAGTAGTAGTAGTAGTAGTAGTAGTAGTAGTAGTAGTAGTAGTAGTAGTAGTAGTAGTAGTAGTAGTAGTAGTAGTAGTAGTAGTAGTAGTAGTAGTAGTAGTAGTAGTAGTAGTAGTAGTAGTAGTAGTAGTAGTAGTAGTAGTAGTAGTAGTAGTAGTAGTAGTAGTAGTAGTAGTAGTAGTAGTAGTAGTAGTAGTAGTAGTAGTAGTAGTAGTAGTAGTAGTAGTAGTAGTAGTAGTAGTAGTAGTAGTAGTAGTAGTAGTAGTAGTAGTAGTAGTAGTAGTAGTAGTAGTAGTAGTAGTAGTAGTAGTAGTAGTAGTAGTAGTAGTAGTAGTAGTAGTAGTAGTAGTAGTAGTAGTAGTAGTAGTAGTAGTAGTAGTAGTAGTAGTAGTAGTAGTATTAGTGGTAGTAGTAGTAGTAGTGGTGGTGGTGGTGGTAATGGTAGTAGTAGTAGTAATAATAATATTAGTATTATCGTTTTACACTCATAATCACCTATCCACTCATATATGTATATGCATATTATATTCTCTATTTAAAAGTTTCTTATTCTATTTCCTTCTGTTTCACTAATGGGTACTGCATATTCATCAACATGAATGAATCATAAGTGAAATTACACACCGTTTTTTTTTTCTAAGGGGATACTATAATGAACTTTGCCTGATATTTCTCTCTGTGTGTGTGTGTGTTTGTGTGTATATGTGTACATGTGCATGATTTAAGGGGGAAATATTAAACTACATATCTATAATACACATATATATAGATTTGTTTACATCATCTAATTTGATGTACAGGGTTCAAATTTCAAATAAACAAAAAAAATTCCACATTGGTAATTACAATCAACATCGTCATCATCAGCAGCATTATAGTTAATTAAAACTGTACATGTAATTTATCATAATTATCTAATATTATGAGAATAACTGAATTTGTCGTTAGGTTGAATGATGTTGCCATGGTGATTTCATGTATAATAATGTCAATGATTATTACTATTTTGAATATTAATTAACAATAGTGTAATGATAGTTAGATAGAAGAAATCTAACATGAATGATGATTAGTTGTTAAATTGTATTTCAGAAATGAATTGAATTGATATTATGTAATTTCATTTTAGTTCATTTAACCAGATTCATATTTTACTGGTTGAAAGCGTGAGTCAGTTGAAGCTAGACCACCATGGAAAACCTGGAAGCACTGGATAACCGTTTCGTTCTAGTATGAGACTCCTCAGCAGTGCGCATCCACGATCCCGCACCCCACGAGATTCGGACCCAGGATTTATCAGTCTCGCGTCAGGCACTTAACCAATTAGACCACTGAGCTGGCATCCAACGGTGTTGATGTCTATCTTCAACCAATCCACGAAGTTGCGCCACCGTACACCATTTTCTTCAGTGAGTTCCTGTCTTCCTATTTTCTGGTTGTTGCTGTTAAAAAAATCTAATTGATTAATCTATTTGTGGTATATGTGGATTCTAAGAGGTTTGTTACGATTTTGCTATTTCAGTTTTGAAAAGACAGGAGACTTGATGGCCTGTGTTAGTCATGACAATGATGGTCTCTCAGTTGATCCAACTTTCTTCTGAAAGAGTCCACGGATAGAGCTTCAACCACATGTTGAGGTAATCAATTCCATTCGTTGATGATTAGATGAGAAAGTCGATATTTAGATGGTGGTTGAAGGTAGTCAACAGGAAACCCTGGACCCGGGTTTCGTGCTACTTGGCACTCGTCAGCAAGGTGTACTTGTAATCTTGAGGGAACTGGTGCTTCCTAGCGGATTAGATCTCGTGTCACCCAGCTTCGCAGTCACAGACGTTACCACTGAGCTATCCGAGCCGTGACTAACCTCCTGTTGGACTGAGATGTAATTACAATTGATTGATCACTGGGTGGTGATCAATGTCTTGCTTGTCTAGTCGATAGTCAGCTGACAAGTAATTTGTTCTGAGCTTATGAACTGTTTAAGATTGTCCTCTGTTTTGGAAGAGAAGAAAAATGAGGGTAAATTAGGTGCAAATTTATCACTAAACAATTAAAAAACTGTAATCAAGTCACCTCTAGTTCTTCGATATGACAACGGGAATGTTTGTCTTGGCCAGTGGAACATCATACAAGAGCTTAGTTGCTGTTCTTTGAACCATTTCCAAACGTTCACACAAATTACTTATTAAGAATGGATAGTAGAGAGTAGTGAAATCCATGATGTGCGTTTTTTCTGATTGGAGACTCGTCAGTTGAATGTACCTAGATTCCAGTGTTGTCCATAAATTAACTCCGTGTTATTCAGTGAGCTATTGAGTGGGAACAACCACTAGTTTATGTGACCGATTTGAATAATATTTGCTGGGTTTTTTCTATTTTCTTAAGGACTTTAATTGCTAGGTCTTTATCAACATTGCAAAGTAGGTTCATTTCCTTTAATGCCGGGTGATCATCGTCTTCTGAGATTGACATATATATACTTTCTATGTACTTGTTCAATCTTTTATTGGTTGAAAAACCAAGAATTGGTAGACAGCTTTGATTACCTCATGTAAATAAGAATAAATACACCGATTCATTCATTAATACAGATATGTCCTATTGACAAATAACTTATATCCGTAAGTTTTGACAAATGGTATGTACCTGTCAGTATCTCTGACTTATTATCTGATATTGGAATAATATGTTTAACTTGTTCAGCATATCAGTTTCAAAATGACTGAAATGGACATCTTGAATTCCACTATTCGCCATTATCGATTTTTAATATAACTAAAACACTCATTGTTAACACTAGGATCAATCGTTTGATTTAGTAAACCGCTCATGTTAGTTGAAATAGTTTTATCCTAACAAGATTGATACAGTTAATTTCCTAGAATAACTATTATTAATTCATTCACTATGTGCTCTATTATCTGATAGATGTTTCCACACTTAATGGTGAAACTCTGGAAGATGTGGAATCCTTCACATACCTGGGAAGCATCATCGATAAACATGGAGGTTCAGATGCAGACGTAAAAGCGAGAATTGGCAAAGCAAGCACCACATTCATACAATTGAAGAACATATGGAACTCAAAAAAACAGTCTATCAACCAATATCAAAGTCTGAATCTTCAGTACGAACATCAAGACAGTTCTACCGTAAGGAGCTTAAACTTCGATAACTAATACCACAACCATCATCAATACGGTACAAGTATTTATAAATAGTTGTCTACACAGGATATTCAACATCCATTGGACGAATACCATTAATAATAGGCTACTGTGGGAGAGGACAAACCAGCTTCCAGTTGAAGAGGAAATTAAGAAAAGACGATGGAAGTGGATAGGACATAGATTACGCAAATCATCAAACTGCATCACGAGGCAATCCCAAACCTAGAATCCTGAATGGAAGCGAAAAAGAGGAAGGCCAGAGAACAAATTACATTGGGAGATAGAATCAGATATGTAATGGATGAATAGCGACTGGAAAGAAATTTCCAGGACAGGGTTGGATGGCGAATGCTGGTGAGTGGCCTATACTCCTTCACGAGGGGTAACAAGCACAAGTAAGTAAATAAGCGATATGATGGAAAGAAAAGTCAATTTTCGATTGAATTACTCATTATGAGTTTTATTCAACATGAAATCCGTTTTGATTCAACATTAGGATCATTCAGTGTAGTATTTGATTGTTTCTCCAGTATGATATTTTCTTCTGTATAATAAACGATATTCTTGTATTCAGTTGACATGACCTATGCTCAGTAAGTGATATGCTGTAACTGAGTATGTGATTTAGTCCTAATTATGAATCAGAATGGGTGTACAGCCGCACGTTCCAGTACGAACAAATCATTTATTTATTTACCAACTGTTTACATGAAAACTATTGACGTTTATTAATTTAATAGTTGAATTCATAGGTCGATTAATGCTGGAACACCATGGAAAACTTGAAATTATTGAACGGCCGTTTTATACTAGTATGAGACTCCTCAATGGCAGTTCGTATCCACGATCCCGCTTCATGAGACTTGAACTCAAGACCTAACGGTCTCGCGAACGAACCAATCCACTTCACTCATTTATCCACATCCCATACTCTATTTAGTATATCAATTAATTACTTAGTTGAATGACTCAGCACTATTTATCCCAACACATACATAGACACACATTATATAGACATGCATGATAAGCCAATAATAAAGTCACTTATGTCACGTGAAATCGATAAATTGGTTTAGTTCAATTAAATTAAATTAATAAAGGGGTGGGGATTTAGTCATGGAAACCTAAAAAATAATAATTGGGAAAATAGATCTAATTGTTTACATGTAAATTTATTGATATACCGACAAAAGGGGTGTAGAGAATGTAAAACGTAAGGAGAAAGAAAAATGTAAATCTAGGACGGAACGCGCGTCCTGTATCCCACTGCTAGCTATTATCCATCTTTCACAATTGATTGATCACTGGGTGGTGATCAGTGTCATGCTTGTCTAGTCCTTATTAGTGCAGATCGAATGCTATCGATCGTGTTGCAATGTGGCCACCAGTCTAGGTGACTCGACATCTTTGCTTATAAAGCTTATGAATTAAGGTATTATTGAGGCAATTCACGCACAGAATTCACATATACCAATAAGAGACTGATCAATTGAAGTCCGAAACAACGATGGGAAGATTCAAGTATACAATATCAAGTGAATTTCAAATTCACCCCACTGCACAAGCAAATGGCTATCAGGATTCAGTAGCTAAGTGTTATAATGCGATGATGTTTGAAGCGAAACATACCAGGTTCGAGTCACAGAGTGAACATCAACTTAGGGATGCGCGTACATCTAGCTGACGAGTCCCAAATTGAACGAAACGTGCGTCCTGGATTTCACTTCTTTGCTTATAATGCTAGTGAATTAAGACAATATCAAGGCAATTCTCACAGGTTGCACATTTGCCAACAAGAGAATGATCAGTCCTAAATATCAATGGGATGATTCAAGTTAATAATATCAAGTGAATTTATTTTCTTTTGTTTGTTTTTAATTCACCACAATTGTTTACCTCATTTATTCTAGAAATTTAAAATAATTCAAAATGAATTAGAATAGACTTTTAGGTTATCAGTATGGAATTATGGAGATCATTAAGTTTTTGATTGAGACCATTAATTGATTGATGTTACACGACCATGGAAAACCTGGGAGCACTGGACGGCCATTTCGTTTTATTGTGGGACTCCTCAGTAGTACGCATCTACGATCTCAATCGCTAGATTCGAACTAGGGCTTTTTCATTATGAAACGATGTGAGTACTTACAAAGAAAAAGAATGAAACAATGAGTAGTGTCTTTGGAGGTGGGTGGGTGGGGGAATTGGATAATGAACATAGAACAACATGACAACTTGAACCGATACATATATATGCCGAGTCCTACGTTGTAACTGACTGACTGATTAACAAACGTATGTTTAATTTAATTTTGGAC